TCATCGGAATTGGGCTTATAATATATCATTAGAAAGCTCTTTTTGAATCCGACCCAACTACACTATTATTGAATCCCTGCCATGGACCAAACTAAACTATATTGGCTATTTTCATAAAATAGGTTTTCAAAAACAGAGAGAAAGAAAAGAATTGAAAACTAACCGCAACACTAGACTTTCCACACTTTTACCTTATTCAATTATGATTCGACGTGAAAGGTACTCATCACTAGGTTTGGTCTTAGGGAGACACAAATGGGTGTCTGCGGAAGCCCCCACTTTGTCTGAGTTTGGAGAAACGCAAGTTTCGAAAACAAAAGTCAAAGTATCGATAGGGACGGAGAATGATTCAGAACGTTCTGCGATCCTAAATCATTCTTGTAACGTCGATACCTGCAAACTAGCATTAGTTAAAACAGATAAAAGATTTAAGAAACGCGTATCTTGCACCGTCGAGCACACGTCTCTGTAGTAACCGATTTGTTGTGTTTGTTGTTGTGACAACTTTCCACAAGCTAGGGAACGTCATCTTGCTGTTTTGATGTTCACTCGTCTCTGAACAATGGAGCTTATATATATATATATATATATATATATATATATATATATATATATATATATATATATATATATATATATATATATATATATATATATATATATATATATATACGTTCACGCGTCTCTAAACAAAAGAGCTTTGACGATCTTCCTCAAGCTAGGGGATACCGCCTGAAGACTGCTACGCCTGTAACTACCTCCAATTTTTGCTTTGATAGTCTTTGAAAGACCACTGCTTGTTGATCCTTAATGTTGCTTGAATTTTGCTGTTGATGTTTTTGGTGATGACAATCCTCTTTTCTTGTATGATGTATGACAATCCGATAGGGAAAGTTGTCAATGCTACGAAACAATCCGTCGTTGAAAATGTTGCTACGATGAAGCGACAATCCGTATGTCAGAAAATTTGCCAAAAATCCAATTTTAAGAAAAGTTGCCAATGTTCGTAACAATCTGTCATAAGAATCTTGCCACGATTTGAAAGTCCACATATTGGAGCTAGCATAACTCTTGGAAGCAATCCACCTTGGAAATTTTCCAATGCTATGCGAAAATCCTTATAGGAAAATATTACCACAATTGACAATCCGCGTCTTAGAACATTTACAAAAAAGAGTTGATCGACAATGCACTTCGGGAAAATTTGCCACTTACTGAAATGAATGACAATCCACATTGAGGAACCTTTGCCAAAATTTATGATGAGTAGAGACCTACGACAATCCTTCGGGAAATTTTGTCATAGGGAACTGGGTGTATGACAATCCAATCTCGGAAAACTTGCCAATCAATCGATGAATGTATGACAATCCGAACTTGGAAAAATTTTCCAAATAGAGAAGGAGCACGACAATCCACGCTTGGAAACTTTGCTAAATATGACAATCCAATCTTAGGAAAAATTTTCATTCAAGAAGAATGTGCGACAATCCATATTTAGAAATATTGTCGGTTGGGGATGACAATCCAATCTTGAAAAAATTTTCATATAAGAAGAATGCGCCACAATCCACTTTTGGAAATATTGTCGTATAAGTGCTTGCTTTTGAACCGATGCGTTGGTGCTTGTAATGAGCCAATGCTTAGGCGCTTAAGCTAAGTGAGATGATCGTCTTCAGGTTAATCACTTACTGAGATTGTAATCGAACCGACTACTAATCATGTCAATTTGCTTATGGGGGATAACTGTCGTACCAAGGAGCCCGAAATTGCTGTAAGAGGTCCTCATAATCAAATATGGGGGCCACGCATTGTGTCGCCGCACCGGCGCTTGCTATAAAACTCTGGCGCCACGCTTTTCTTCTGTCGCCAAGCGACAGATGCTGTCACCAGGCGACAGCCTTGTCATCTGGCGCTGGAGTCGGGTCTTCCCTATTTTGCTCTTGCTGCTGTTGTGGCTCGGTTTCGCTCCAAACTTTGAACTTGGTCATTTCCTTTCAACCAAATACGCTCAAATCTTTTGTAAATCAAATCTCTTCATCTCTAATTTACTGACCTATGTAATTTTGTTCAAACTCCTCTCATCTTAGAAGAATTTCATGTGTCAAATTTGCGGTTTTTTCCGAAAAAAAATCCGAGAATGTTCTTGCTTACTGGAATGCTCTGCATTTATGTTTTTGTCTATAGGACTTTGCTCATCTCTTTAATTATCTTAGGTTTGACCTAAGGCTTAGTGTCGCTTGACTCATTGACTTGACATGACTCAAGGTATGACGACTCACTTCATGTGACTCATGTGTGCATAGTGTTGACTCGATGCGATAACATGAAATGACTCGATGTGTACATGACTCGTGTGTGCATTGTAATGTGATTGTGCAACTCGAAAATATAGAAAAACAAAAATTTCCATTATTTTTGTGGAGGGTACCGACTTTCTCCCGAAAAAGACGCGAAAAAAGAAAGAAGCAAAGTTTTTGAAGGTGCATGTTAAATGAGCTTAGTCAAATGTTGTTTAATACTATTTCTCAAAGTGCAAGTATTAATTCATCCTAGGCTATCTCAACCGTTGACTCCATGACGAAAGTATTTGTGTAACTTAGGCACGGAGGCTAAGTACTTCGTACTTTGTGATGCAATGATGATTGATGATCATATGACAAGGCATGCTTTAGCGTTGTGTTAAGATTTCATGACAAAGGATTCCTAAGGGGAGTATATTTGTTCATGTATCTGCGATGTGTGTGAAAGTGACACTAAAGTTAGGCCGCAAGAGCTAAGTGTGTGGAAAGATAGTATTTTTAGAAAAGTCAAATGATGGTGACTCTTAGGCTGAGTAGGCTAATAATGTAAGGATCAAGCCCCCAAGTCTAGATCTAAATGAAGAAGGATGAGCATAGGAGATCCCCTTAATATGATCATGATGTGTGAATGTGAATGTGAATGCATTTTTATCACGGTCGCACCTCGATGTGAGGTTGCCTACGTATCCGTTAGGATCAGGCCAAATGTAGCTCTAGCCGAACCTCGCACAAGTGTGTGTATACCTCAAAAATGTCTTTTTAAGGGTTGTAACGTGGTTAGGCTAAAGGTTGAAGAAGAAGGGGATAAAAGGCTCAAGACCCTAGATAAGCCCCCAAGGTGTGCAAATTTCCAAGGTGGATTGCTTTCAAGAGTTATATTCTAAGATGTGGATTGTCGATCATAGCAAAGTTCTTATGACAGATTGTTACGAAGCATTGGCAACTTTTAGGCACCGGTTAACCGGTGGCCAAAATAGTCAAAGGCACCGGTTAACCGGTGCCAAAACAAGTATAGGGCACCGGTTGTGAACCGGTGCTAAAAAGGGGGGTATTTGGCACCCCCCACATAGAAAGTGGTTCAAACCGGTGCCTTAGACCGGGTTTGAACCACTGCCAAAGGGTATTTTTCACCTAGTGTTATGACAGATTGTTACGAAGCATTGGCAACTTTTCCCATATTTGGATTTTGGCAAATTTTCCAAGATACGGATTGTCGCTTCATCGTAGCAACATTGTCAAGGATGAATTTTTGTAAATTCCGAATACACCGCGCGGAAGCCTTACCTTCTGAAGGGTTGGCACGAGTGGATGGGACCCCGCAAGTTAAAAACATGCTTCCATGGTTTGGTGAATTCAACATTCTCGGATGTACCCTTTGTTGCACAGAGTGTTCAATCAGGTAGATGGAGCATGAATCCCCAGAGGGTTATGTCCATATGTAGAACACATATGGGTTTCAGAAAAGTGAGAAAAACTCAATCAGGAAGTAGAATCGAGCAAACAGTGCTAGAATTGGTTAAAATTAGAACTCATATTTCTGGCTCGCTATTGGAAGAACTCAGTGCCAGCCAACAGAGTCCGTCGCCGCAATATAGCTTTGTCGCCTGGCGACAGAGCCATATCATCGGCGACAAGCTCTGTTTTCTAGACGCCAATTCCTACATGTCTCAGCAGCTTTCTGTGTTTGATAAAATTTTCCTGTTTTTCGCAGCCTTATTTCGATCCTAGTTGTAAAAGATATTCCTCAAATTTCCTACGTGTAAAAATCCTATGTTTTTAACTCATTACGGATGGTCTTTCCAATGAGATCTTTTTTTATGCATATGACAATAATGTTAATCAAAATTACGCACATGAAAAACTTAGAACTTTTCGAGTCTCATCCACTCATTCTAAATCATTGCCAAAATGAATTTCAGGAATTAAAATAGAAATCTTGCCCAGCAGAGTCGCCAAAAAC